TGAACCTAATCGAGCATAATTTAGAATCGAATGCAGCATGCAACTAGGAGGTACAGTATATGGTCACCACAGGATCAGAAACAAAAACACACACATACGCAAAAAAAATAAATAAATAAAAAGAGAAATTGTTGGAAAATTGACATCTGATGCCATTTCACACTCGTTACACTTGATTACTAACAATTTCCGCTTTTAGCCAACGTTATCTTACGTATTTACCTTACACAATTTACTGATTTTCCTTATCTTATTAATTAACGTTTCTTCTTACGGTATGGAATAATTATTGTACGCCATAAATGACGAATATTCACCTTATACATCTGTGCGATCTTGGGAGCTTAGTTATGGTCTCTGCATGATTTTTTATAGTTCTTGAATAGTTTTTTTTTTTTTTGAAATTTAGTTTACCACTTTCGGACAATTTTCAAGGTCTATCGTACGATTACTTGGCGGTTATTTCCAGTTTCTCGGCGATGTTTCTGGAAACTTTTGTACAGGGGGCTTGATGAATGTACAGTTCCTGGGAAAAAGTTTTTTTTTTCTCTTTTTGCAGATCAATTGTGAACAAGTTCACGATGTTACATGATTTATGCGGGAGGACTTGAGGTCCGCGTTATTGCCTTTAACACTATTAATAAATTCCATTGTTAGCGTCAACACTACATAGAATCCAGTCATTTCGTCGTAACTTTAAACTTTATATCAAAGTCGGCCTGCTATATCTGTTTGGTAACCACCGGCTGATGTTATGCATCGTGGTGACAGCCAATTATAGTTTGAGCATCATTGTTGCAAGGCCAAATATTCAAGTGATAGATTATGTAATCATGCGCTAATATATATTTGGATAAGATTTTCAGATCACATCTAGATATATACTGAACGTACAGTATCAGATATCTGATATGGTACGTACGTACAGTACTTATCATTATCATGACAGATATACCGAACGAGTGTATTTACGCAATTATCATTAATCTTGCAAAAGATAATAAAAGTTTATTCTCATGCTGCCTTGTTAATCGTATTTGGTGTTTAAACACAGTGCCAATACTATGGAGTAACCCATTACAAAAAGGATTTTCTAAATCACTTGTGCGAACATACCTTTCAACGTTATCTCCTGAAGAAAAGAAGCCACTAATATCACTTGGCATAACACTCTCTAATTTTCCAAAACCGTTATTTGAATATGGAGCTTTCTTAAAAATTCTTGATACTAGTTCAATCAAAAATGGAATAGATATGTGGCTTAAAAATGAAGGATTTATTGATCGTTATAATGATAAAGGAATGTTGACATCTGCACATAATATTGTTATGAAATCTTTGATTACAATGTTTCTTCGGAGAAGTGGAAATCTTGAAGAATTATTAATCAATGATCAACTTATGCTTCCGACAGTGACCACACTTTTAAATGTTATGCCAGGAACATCACAATTAAAAGCATTACGGGTTAAACTAAATTCCATTAACACAAACATACTAAGTTTTATGAATGCGTTGACAACTTATGCGTGCCCTTATCCTAAGCTATTCACAAAAATTAAACCTTACTTACTCAAAGATGCAAGTGATGCACTCGTAAATATTATAAAATCCAATAACAAATTAGAAAAAATAGAACTTAATTATACCATAGGTAGAAGTGTTATTGTGTATAATATTTCGAATCATGTGAGTAAAAAAACAGGTTAGTTAAGAAAACATATCAGATATTATGAAAGACTTTTAAGTGTAATTTCTTATTTACCTATTGTTTTTTATTAGTTAGAGATTTTTTTTCGTTCT